AATACTCTAAAGTTAAATACATATTCAAAGACAAAGCATGTGAAGTCTAAATCCTAACAAACACTCTTTTGACTTAAGTAATACAAAAATGCTAAAGACTGTATTAATCTTTTTTTTTTTTTTTTTTTTTTTGACCAAAGCACACACAAAAAAAATCTAAAGCAAAAGTTAAATTTTCTTTCAATAATAATATACTTCTTCCCAAATAAAGAAGAAAATGTCATTTTACTTAATAAGAACAAATGAGAAATTATGCATGTATTTATGGATTTCTCACTCTAAGACTACCATAGGCCTTAATTTATCTGAGATTTAAAACTGAAACAATATTTTATTCAATTTACAATTAAATAAAAATCTGTACATAATAAAATTATATCTGGGATACTCCTACACTTTATGATTTTTTTTCAAATAAAAGACCCAACTCAAAATACTTAGAATAAATAATATATCTGGCAGGAAACCTACCAGTAAAAGATACACTGTTTAAATATAACCTAAAACAGTACAGAGGTACATGTGTGAATACAGATGTTTGACTGGGGAAACAATAGGGATTAATCCAATTAAATACTATCTCATCCCATAAGATAGTATGTTTTTGGTTGGAAAGAACAGAATATCCAAGGTAAATTGATGTTGCACAGGCGGATCACTATGAGTCCGATCTAGTAGTGAGACCCTGAACACCCTGTACACCCTTCCCAAAAAAAAAAAAATGTTGTAAAAAGAAAAAAGCACAGTGAGGGCATTTACCTATTGAACTGCTTGTCAACAAGGATAACACAGTACATGCAGTTGGGTCTCTGGGCTCAGACCTGGAGCCACACCAGTCTCTCCCCTCCAACTGCCTCTTCCGCCCTGGTCTCACTCCCATGAAACCATCCTATCATGGTGCTAAAGGAGAACAAAATCGCTGCTTGCAGCTTTAGACTTACACTGTCTTTTTCTCCATCAACAAAATGGCTGCTGGCAGCTCCAGATTTACATTCTGTTCCTCTCAAGCAGAAGACAAGACCTTCTATCTCCTCACGGGCTAACACCAGCCTCTAACTTTGACTCCGCTTGCCCAACTGGCTACATGCCTACCCTTAAATCAACATCTGAATAGAGGAGACTACAAGCCGTCCTGGTCAGCCCAAGATGCATGGAGCAACCATCCCCAGCCACAGTGGCCTAAAAATAAACACTGAATGACCGAAGCGGAAATCTAGCATACCCTCAAGAGCGTCAGAGTGGCCTTTTGCAAACCCATACAGTTAATTAAGATGAAGAAATGAGCTTAGGGGACCCTCCCCTGATGGTTGTGTCTCATACTTCAGCAGCTGAGCAAAGCCTCTGGCTTTCCAAGGCTATCTGGTACTCACTGTAAGCACCCTGGGTGTCTCCACACAACAGAACACGGTCACCAGGAAGTCCATTGTTCTAACAGTACTGTTCCATCCTGCCTTAAGGACTAATCTACCTGGCCTTTCGGTCTACATCTCCTTAAAATCTGTTGAGTTTTTTTTTTTTTTTTTTTTTTTTTTTTTTTTCCTTACATTAACTCTCATGCTTGCAGATACTCTTGCAGACAGATAGGTGTTCATGGTGAAAACTGTTCTTGATTTTTAAGTAAAATCTTCATTCACTGGTGGCCTTATTTATTTATTTATTTATTTATTTTACTCCAGGGTCTACAAGGTCTCACTACACAGGTCGGACTCATAGTGATCCTCCTGTTCACATCCTCCCAAGCACTGGGATTACAGGCTCACATCACCACACCCAGTCTCAATTGCCATCTCAGTGCACCACAGAGGTAGGGCTGGCATGGCATGCCGGGGATCAGACCCCGGTCCCTGCATCTGCCTAAGCAGGCAATTTGATCTGCTGAGCCATCTGGCCAGCCCTCATTTATTTTTTAAAGTTCTGGTCTACTTTCTTTCAAATCTGTACAACTAGCCTATTTTCCTTGGTCACAATTAGTTACCACAACTTACTAGCATAGTCCTGGGATCAAGAACCAAAAGTACAAGTCAGCAATGATTTTTATGTTTTTCTTGACTCTTGGGCAAAGTGATTTTTTTCTAAATTCTGCAATAAGCCTCTATTTGAAGCTCTTTTCACTTCCAAAAAAATTATTATTAGAAAAGAGCTTGCATATAAATTCTTACAGCAACACATCAGAAGGTTGGGTTGAGTTTCTCAACTCCATGACTACAGTATAGAAAAACTTGGAGGCGTCCAGAGAAAAAGCAAGTTAAAATAAACCCTTTATCAGCTGCTACACGTGGGGTGGATCAATAACACTAACTGACAACTTTTCATATGAAATTCAAGCAGTCTGAAGTTTTCTTTTTCTATTCCCTGAAGATCTGTTCTCCCCACTTCAAAGGAGTGTCTGCTACAGTGCACGGAGAGGTGGCTCATGCACCACGGCACTCTGCTTCTGTTTCAATTGTAACATTTGGCAGTTCTGGGGCTTCTAGGCAGCGATAAAAGGGTGGAGGGCTTTGATTGTTTATTCTTCAACAGCAAAGGCAGAGAAGTGCAGAGAACAAGGGAACAAGCTTAGCAGATGAGCACGACTGGGATCCAACCACAGCGTGGTACCTACCAGCCCAGTGGGTGACACGGAGCAAATTGGAGCTCCGCTTTCCTTGTTTGTGAAGTGAGTGGAATACTAATTCCCAACTTCCATGTTTGTTAGGAGAACTGAGTTTACTATAAAGCATTTAGCCTAGACTGGTACTTTTAAACAGCAACTAGCATTTCTTATATGCCAAATATAGAAAATACACAATCGATTTATTTATCTAGTCAACCAATATTATATAACAAGTAGTCACGATGTACCAGGTACTGTTTCAGGCATGGTTCTAGGATTATCAGTGAGGAAGAAGACAGGCATCAATTTCCTTTTGCATGTTACATACATACTGGAGAGATATTAAGAGCAAAATATAATTAATAAACATCATACATGTAAGTAGTAATACAAATACAAATCAGACCTCTCCAAGTTAATTGATATGAGAAGGGTGTCTCAATTCTTTTAGGCCAGTCATTCCTCACAGTGAATTGAACCAACCAAACCATGCCAGCTCCATGCAGCCACCCTCCTGTGCCTGTGTTTCTCGTATCACGTCAGCCGGGTTCCTTATGTGGGTAATGAAAATGAAAGGACTAGGAGTATTTCATTCAGTGCTGATGTTCTCCCTGTATAAATCTGAGTTTGATTTGTTCTTCTTTTGATAAGGTTCGCTAGGGGTTTGTAAATTTTATTTATTCTTTTAAAAACCCAACTCTTCGATTCATTAATTCTTTGTATTTTTTTTTCTTAGTCTCCATTGCATTAATTTCTGCTCTGATCTTTATAATTTCCTCCCTAAAGGCTCTGAGTTTGAGTTGCTCCCCTCTCTAAGGCCTGAGAGATAGTGGACTGTCTTTCTCAGTTCCGTAAGAGCTTTCTGACAGTCACACTCTTCCACACTTTCAAATTACTGCAGCAGGCCACTCAGCAAGTACTAAAGCTTCTGGAGCCGAACTGAAATTTTCAGTTTCCATTCGCTGATATCTACTTTCACGGATAAAGTTATGCTTTCATTTTTTGACAGCACTCATGTTCTTAACCTGAATGAACCTTGAGTATCAACCTTCTAGGTCAGAAACAGGATCTCTATTATGAAAAGGGATGCTGTCACCATTCTTTTAATCTGTGAGTAGCTACCTGCACATGGTATGTTCTGTAAAATAAACCATATACTAGTCAATAGAACATGCTTAAGTAGTTGCAAAGATGTTAGAATTATCTCATGTATACTTTCTGACCTTAGTGCAATGAATTGGAAATTATTGACAAAAGAAACTGCAAAAGCTCCATAAACATATGGAA